ATATAACTTTTATACAAAAAGGCAGCGTTTGTTTGTGTGTACGCAAAAATCTCAAAAACTACTGAACCAATCGATCCCAAATTTTGACACAAATTCAATTACAACTTCTAATGTATCATAGGCTATTAAAATGAACGATAACTTTAACAAAAATGTGTGTATGCTACTTATAAAAACCAACTGCTAAACAGCTCTGAAACGGAGTTTTAACCTATGACCTTTACAGGGATGTGATTATTGTTTTTAATGTTACTTTACATTGACTGAGCTACTTGAGTAATCAATTTTGTGAAGTTACTTTAATAAGTGAAAGTTCGTAGTAGCCTACAGTGACGTGTAACACGCACGTCAGCACACAGTCGATGTTGAGCGATAAAGCATCTCATGGAATGTTGATCGTTCTTGAGCGTATACGAGGTGAAAAAAACCTTCAGTCTTACTTATATATAAAACCAAAAGTCACTAAAACTGTTGTTATCGCTAACGGCGAAAACTACTTAAGCGATCGAGCTGAAATTTCGCATACTAATTCTTGAAACTACCTACAGAGATTAGTAGGCAGATCGCTGACTTCCATGCCATGGAGTGTGCCCACTTTTTTCCAGTGGTTCTAGCGCACCACCGCGGCCAAGCGGCCAAACCAGGTGCACATTTTTTTTTATTTGAGAAGCACGGTAGAGGTATGAGAGGAGTAGATTCACGTGGAAATGTCCATATAGGCGCACATCTTGGAGACGCATGGAAGGGGTATACCGAATGTGCGCCTACGAGGAGAGGCGTGGAAATGTCAGTTATATAGCTGTATAGCTGAGCACACAGCCAAAGCAAGCGACGACACGAGTTTTTCTCTTTTGAGTCTGCAATATGACTCTGCAACTGAGAATATGCTATATACATTTAACTGACTTGCTCTCGCTCTGGCTTCAATGTTATTTGTAAATCTTATTTAATTGAATCGGGGAACTAAATGCTCATTAATTATATGCACAGACTTTTGATTTCAATACATTATTTTTTAACTCTCCCGTACTCTTAACATTCCCAAATCCATTTATGTTTTTAGTAAATGTATAGCTTCAACAATTTTTTAAGGTTTTTGGTACAGCTTTAACCACTAATTTATTAATTTTACACATCTTAACTGCTTTGAACTGTAGGACAATCCATAAAAATATGATTTCGAAAGAGATTTCACGTGTTCTTTGGATAGCTAAGATGGATGAGGCTTATACCGCTTCGTGGATTGATTTGCACTTAAGGGTTTAAATCCACTTCATAATAGAATTTTTTTTTTTCTTTATTCAATTTATCATCTTGTCTTCTTTTCTTTAATTTATATTTCTATGTTTCGTTAAAATATATATACATATGTCGTTAAAATTTTTTTTCGGATACATCAAAGTAAATATTGTAACATTGATACTTCTCGTTAGCAAGGCAATCCCATAATTTTATAATACTAAAACAACTTCTAAGGATTTTAATATAATGTGTGCATTTTAAAACTCCTAAGAAATTATGAATATCCTATTTACGACAAAAAAAGCCGCCCGTCTACTGCTATTCACTTAATGTTGAAGTTTTTATCAGTAAATGAATTTGATGAGCACAATAGAAAATAGTTTTGTAAAAATTTTTAAATTGTTTGCAGATCTCTAATAAGGTGTGCTACTTTTATTCACTTTTCGACTGCCGGAAGAATAATAATGAATGAAACAATTCGACTTAGTCAAAAATTTATAGCTATTAATGTGCCTATAGTTTATAGCTATAATTATAGCTATAACTACCTATAAAACAGCTATAATAATGTATAAAATTTGGCTATAAATATAGCTATAAACTACAGCTGTAAATTTTTAACAAATAATGAATAAAAATTAGTTTAAAATCAGATTTTTTCAACATATATCGATCAGTACAGACAGTATCATCCGTATGATAACAGTTATACTGGGGGCCTGAAATATTTTTGAATAAGTAGAAAAAAAAACAAGAAATCATATACAATTTCAAGTTTTTTAAAAATTGTTTAAAAATACTTTAGGTCCTCAGTTTTACTGTTATCTTACGGATGATACCGTCTATATTGATCGATATATGTTGAAAAAATCTGATTTTAAACTAATTTTTATTCAAAATTTGTGAAAAGATTACAGCTGTAATTTATAGCTATATTTATAGCTGAATTTTATACATTATTGTAGCTGTTTTATAGGTAGTTATAGCTATAATTATAGCTATAATTTATAGGTATAATTATAGCTATAAATTTTTAACTGAGGATGAATAAGTTATAAAAATTATTCGGCAAGAGTCTGAGACATAAAAGTTTTTATAACACCGCAGTATTTTGTTTAAAAAAAAAAAAAAAAAAAAAATGAATTACCTTTACGGGTAATGATTAGAATACAGATATTTTTTGGATGTAGATTATTAAGGAGGTTTAATCATTCATATTAAATGTAGAAAAAACATCGTAATACTTTAAACAATGATACCATCGGGTGAGTACAAGAAAGAGTCTATTTAGAGTAAAAGTTAAAAAAGAGCCTTTTTAAATTTTCGGGCAAAAGAAAGTCTTCTTAAAGAAAATAAAAAAGCCTTTTTATACAGAGGTACACTCGCACTGAGGTGTATTAGGCTGGCGTCGATTGGTATAACTAAGTCCACCGAAATGTCACTCAAGATTGTTCTTCGACATTTTTGAGTTCTTATTTGATCCCTACCCAGCTCTCGATTGGTCATGTAACTCTGTACAAATCGACACATTTATTCTATACCGGAGAGAAAAACGAGAAGTTCAACAACAAGACATAAATGCCTTTTAAACCAATTTGTTTACTTCTATTTTGAGGAAGTAATGTATATATTTTTATAGATCAATTATATATACACACACATAAATGTAGTACCAACTTAAAATCGGAGAAATAAAAATTAAAGGCTCTTTCTTATATTTAGTTTAAAAAGGCTCTTTTACGCCTATTACTCAAGAAAGACTCTTTATTATGCTAACCTGACAAATTATTTAGAGTCAGGAATTGTGAAAACTAAAAAAAATTTTTAACACCAAATTTATATATTAATAAAAACCGCGTCTGGGTCTATTTCTGCTAGCAAAAACTTCGATTAAGAGTTAAGGGAGATGTTGTAATATTTCATTGTTTTAAGAAATTTCTGAAAAAATTTGCATAGGTATGTTTCAGTATCATAAATAACATATTAAAATTTCAAAAAGCCTAGATTTTCCGTTTTTATCGAGAAATAAAATCGCGAAGTTTGCCACTTATGCATATGCTCTTAAGAAGGACTTGCCGGAAAATGCACGTTTTTACTCATAACTCTTGAAACTTTTTTAAGAATCTTTTAAAAAACCAATATGTTAGGGTTTATTAAAGTTTAAATAAGTATGCTAAAATTGGGGAAGCCTAGCTTTACCGTTTTTAAAATACAACAGTTTGAAGTCCAGTTACAACGTTACTAGAATACCTATGAAGTGGTACAGTCCGAGACGAAAGTTAGATTAATTTGTTGTTTTAACGTTTGTATTTACTTTCCTGGGCATTTTTCTGTTCCATACATCTAATTTTCAAATTATTTACCTGTTTTGTTAATAATAATCACAACAAAGACATTTTTAATACGAAAATTCGATTTTGAAATTGACTGTACCACGACAACCTTCTTAAAATAGTATCAACATATACATTTGCAGTGAAAAATCTTTAAAAAATCTACAGTTTTCTAAAAAAATCGACAAATTATTCATCCTAGTTTTCCATTTTTTTCTTAAAATCGTGAAGTATTCAAACTATTCTTTCCTGTATTTAAGTGCATACTTCTTTATGATAAATTAATTAAGCTATGATTTTCGAAAATTAATATGTAGAACTAAAAAAAGGCATTTTAACGATTTCAAAGTTAAGCTACTCGTTGTAAGAGTTTCGCCAGCTTTTTAATAAAAGTAATCTGTGTCACGCGGTTGAAGATTTCGATCATACGACTATGTTATAACTACAAAAAAAAAATTAGCTGCCTTGCGTTGTATGGCTAGAGGTGTTTTTTGATGGTCTATCTTATCAACTACAAACAATCGAATAAATTAATGCAAATCATTGTGTGTTGCATAAAATGTAAAATTAATTGACTGATTGCGATAGTTAGAAGTGCAATTTAAATTGTGAAATTATAGTATTTTGTATAGTTATTAATCTATAAAAATACATTTAGTGCCACCTTCAAAACAGAGGAATAAAAATTTTTGTCAACTGTGTATGATTTACGCACTGTCAAAGAATTTTGGTAACTATTTCTGAAAAATTACAATAACAATTTACTGTAGGTAAAAAAATTAATTGTTTATACACAACACAACTTTTTTTTTAAAATCCATACTCCAAGTTACAAGTGGTTGAATCTAATATGTCTTGAATTAAAAAAGCTTTGTTCAGTCTCTGTGAGACTCTCAAATCTAAAATACGTATTATTTATAAGAACTTAAGAATCTGATTCAATGTTTGTACATATGTAGTACGAATTTTGTCAATGCAATAACCACAATAAGGTATTGATAACGAATGTAAATATAAGTTCAACCATATAATATATGTATGTACATAAAAACTCACGAATAGTTGGATGTAAGTTGTACTTTACTGGTAATAATCATATTTGATATAATCGTAGTAAAAGTATAAGTTTTTTTCTGCCTTCGGCTTTTTTTTGTTGTAAATAGGATGTTCAAAATTTCTTAGAAGTTTTAAAATGCACAAATTATATTAAAATCCTTAGAAGTTGTTTTAGTATTATAAAATTATGGGATTGCCTTGCTAACAAGAAGTA